TTTTTCATACGTACACGTCGAACCAGATACGACGGAACATTTGTTTCGGCAAAAAAAAGAAAAGAAAAAAAAAAGTAAAGTAAAATTAGTAAAGAAAACTTATATCAAATATAATAATACACACATACCTATTTAAAATGTATATAAAACAATATCTCGAATAGTTTTGCGCGTGAAAAAATTTTTTCTTATAGATCTGTGTCGCGTACACCAAAATTATTTTCTTTTTTATTTCTCTTATTGCTCTCTCACACACACGTAAGCCCATAAGGGATTTGCTTGGATGTTCTCTGGTTGTTGTTGTTGTTGTCTTGAATGGTCTTGTGTCTTGAATGTCCGAAAATAAAAAAACACCTTTTTGTTTGTGTGTAAGTATTTACGTGTGTGTACTTACAATTAATGAAAATACTTGACAATATGTTACCGTTATTAAAGTGTATGATTTTACTTAATTCATGAAAAAATGAAAAAAAAAAAAAAAAAAAAAAAAAAAAAAAAAAAAAAAAAACTAAACCTAAGTTTCATACATATTAACGAAATGCATATGAAGAGGAATTTTATTATACTTTTGAATTAACGTTGCATTAAAAAATATGAATTCACATGGGAGACGACGAGTGTAATTAAAGTATCGAATTAAAATTTAAAATGCTAGTTTAGTTTTTCTTATCACTACCTGTACTTTGAGAACGTGTAACTTTGATCAAATTTCTAATATGATACCTTAACTACACTCTCTCACCTTTCGTGAATTTTTATATTAAAATATATAATTATGTTTTTTTATCTCATTCATTTTTCCATGAATTAATTACACTTTTCAACAATAACAAATATAAACAATAAAATATTGTGTGTGTGTGTGTGTGTCTCGCTTCTTGTTGGTGTGTATATGCAATAATAATATATGAAAAAAAAAAAAAAAAATTGTTAAAAAGAAAAAGATACTTAAAAAAAAATAAATAAATAAATATAAAACCCTGTTTAAAATTAATGAGAAAAATATTTGTCTTAGTCGACAGTTAAACAGGATAAAGTCGATTAAAAGGACTATAAAGGATTGGATGGTGCTTACCAAAGATGGGCAGGAGCCTGGGGCAAGTTGGTTGGATGGATACATCTTCTCTTTCTCTACATCTCTTTCATCATCATCATCATCATCATCATCATCACGAGTACGAGTTTCTCCGATCTTGAGTACGGTATTATTTTGTAACTTTCTTTTACTTTTACTTTGTTCTTTTTTTTTTTGGTACGTACGTATTTAAAGTACACGTAATATGTATTGGTATAACACACAACATACATAAACGTGCATTGTATTTGTAATATTATCAATTTACATTCGTTCAAAAATCAACCAAAAAAAATAAAAGAATGGGGTGTAAAATTTCGATACGCAGACTCACGTTTGTGTTAAAAAAAAAAAAAAAAATACCTAACACACAAGGAAAAAAAAAGAAATTATTTTGAGCGTGTATATAAACACGCACACCTCGAAATACGGTGAAAATAGTTTTAATTATTACGCGTAACGTTTTGAGTCTGATATCGTAATTCACACGTACTTATATTTATATGTATATATAAATATATATATATATGTGTGTGTGTGTGTATATATCATATATGCAAATCATAAGTAAATTATTGGTTCCATGCAACAACACGATTATCGTATTGAATTATGCATAAACATAAAAGCAAACACACATATACTACACGTACACATACATACACACACACACATATATATATATTTATATATATGGATATGCGTGTTCTTTTTTTCGTTCCGTTTGTTTATTGTAAATATTCTGAAGAAGGTTTGCAATAAAACGCACACGTGCCGAGGAACGCGGACGCGCGAAATTCATTTTTTTTATTCTCTCCCTCTTCTATTACTCTTTTTTTTATTCTTACGAATTTATCGATAAAAAAACAAAATTATTAAAAGAAAAGGAAGAAAAAGAAAGAAGGAAAGGAAAAAAAAATTGTCGCGCGTCCTCGTTCGAAAATGGGCCCCCGAAGTTTTCTCACTTATTTGTATTTTTTTTTTTT